CGATCTCCCGAGGCCGTTCACCAAACCGGGGGCGCGGGTCGCTTGGGTGGAATCCGCGCAGCCCGAGTCGACGGTATGGGCATCGGCGGTAGGTGTGGTCTGCCTCCCCGCAGTGGAAGCACAGAGGGCGTCGGTCGGGCGTTCGCCACACATCGGTCTTCCGGGGTGCACGGGGCTCCTGGCTGGCGTACTGGGGCTGGTCGTCGCGGCGTCGGTCGTGCTGCGGCGCAGGAGACTGGCGTCGAGGCGGCGCGACATAGGCGCGAGGAGGAGGCGGTGGCCGTCGGGCCACTGCGGCGTAAGTTAGCGCGGGTTCTTCGGAGACTGGTGCGCTGATGGGAGCCTCTGGTTGAATGGCTCTCTGCACCTCTTCCCGCACGACCTCAGCGATGGAGAGCGAAGCTGGTCGGTCCGCGGCGGGTAGTAGCTTTCGCAGCTCCTCCCGGACGACGTCGCGAATGATCTCGCGAATGCTTGGGATGCTGGAGCCAAGGTCGCAAGCGGACGGCGGAACCGCGCTGACGGCGGGTAGCCTCTGGTAGTGGCTGGCTCGGGCTTGCAGGGCACGCTCGATGTTCGTTGCCTCGGCGACAAAGCCTTCGACAGTTGTCGGAGGGCTGCGGACAAGGCCACCAAAGATGTTTTCTCTCACGCCCTGCATGTGGATTCGTAGCTTCTTCTCTTCTGTAGCCCGAGGGTCGGCGCGGGCGCTCAGGCGCAGGACGTCCTCTACGAAGCCGGTGACACTCTCGTTGGGGCCCTGGGTTCTGGTTCGCAGTAGGTCCTCGGCTCTCTCTCGGCGGTGGTGGTTGATGAAGGTAGCCTTGAGATCGTTCTTGAAAATGTCCCACGACGTTAGGGAGGACTCATGATTCTCGTACCAGTGCTTGGCAGTCCCCTCAAGCGAAAAATAGACATTGTGTAGGCGCTGCTCGTCTGTCCAGCAATTGTGGCGGGCAACGCGTTCATACTGGTCAATCCAGTCTTCGACGTCTTCGTACTGCTCGCCGTGGAATGGAGCCGGTGTCCGAGGAGCGACGGGCAGGTAGACGACGGCAGCAGCGGCGGGGGTCTGCGACTGGTTGGCCATCGTCGGCTGCCTGGTCCTGGGTGGTAAAAGTCCGAATTCCGGGTGTAGCCCTTGGGTTCGGCGACTTGATCGAGTCTCGATCTGGTCTTCGTTGGGTCCTCGGGAGCTTGGGTTTGGACTTGTAGTGCGGGAACTTGGAGGGCTGCGCTGCACGGGCATGCGGTACCCCGCACCTCCACCAAAAATGTCACGGGTGGTAACCAAAAAACAAGAAATAAACAGGAATAAATAAATGTTTAATGTGGCGAACTTGTGCCAAAAATAAAAGGGTACAAAAGAAAGATAACAACAGAGCGTCGCGGGCGTCGAAGGCGGCGAAGCAGCACGATCAAACGCTGAGGCGAGACTGACTCGACAATGTCGCGGGCGGCCTCTTATCTAGAGTGCGTCGCTATCTCGAAGATTCGGCGAAAGCGGCTCGAGCGTCGCGTGATCGGGGCGAGAATGAACACGCACTTTCTAGAAAACAAAAGCAGAAGATACATGGATATAAATAATAGAAGTTACGGGAACTTTCTAGGGGTCCGTGGCCGAGCGTTGCTTTCTCAGCCCTGTGCGCGGCAATATTAATTCGTACGTTTTGTGAACCGTATAAATTGGATTTATTCTGTTATTCTTGTGCTGTGAAAGATATTAAAGCAACGAATCTTCTAAATACCCGAAAAGCCATTGAAAGGAGCGCAGTTCATTGGTTTATATGACAATTATGTGAGCGAGAAAGGCAGCAAGAATGCAAAAATATCAGCACTGAATTTTCTAACTACAGCATTCTATGTTACCTCTAAGGTGTATGAAAGACCCTGTCTTTAAAGGGAAGAAGGTTTCGCGAACAACCTCTTTAACTAAATAATTACGGTGTGAGAAACATTTTGAGTTATGAAAGAATCTGAAATTAAGACCGATACCGAGAACTTAAATCCAAAATAAAGGGTAGTTTCGGTTTTGCTCCAGAATTAAAACGTACCTCCTGGCCTAAATATTACGCTACATACCGTTTTTATTGTCAGGATAAAGAGGTGACCTGCGCTCATAACACCCTAGCTCCCTAGTATTACCACAAATAATTTGTGTCACTCAGTGAAGCCAGCACACTAGACAGGTTCAGCAGCGGCACGCATCTCCGACCCTCACTAAACCGGCCATTTTGGAAAACGAGTGGCGCCACCTATAGTGAATTGGAGTCGCGAATAGTGCCAGTAAGCCCGTGTAAAGTAAAAAAAAAATTAAAATAAAACAAGATCTGAGATTTGACGATTGATTGGTTACTTAACTCTGCATGGCGCAATTCTACTGCAGAGGCAACTCCAGTTATCACACTACCAGCGCGAGCTTCTTACCTGCCCCTCGTGCACGTCCAGCGCGCCGTCAAAGAACGCCGAAAGAGGGCGTGTTCGAGGTTTACAAGAACTCACCCTGTCGCTTTCAGTCTATCAGTGACAGAGCTAAACCCAGAGCCTTCAAACGTGACTAAACGACGCGGGCAAAACGATGACTCTGAATATTTGAACGCGAGGCGGAACCTAACCCCTTGGCCCGAGGGATCGATCGGAGGCGTCATTCGACAGCTTTGACCTTTCCGTAGGTTCTCACTAGGGGAGGGTCCATCGAACGTTTTATTGTCTCGCGTGGAGCAACGTTACGCCCGTCAAGCAGGAAGACCCATCTGAACAAGGGATCGTTTTCAGCTCAAGAAGAGTTACAAAAAATAAATTAAAAAGTCGGAATTTTTGCGGGTTATTCGTTTAAATGCGCTGGAAAGTGGGCTAGCTGATGCCGATGGCACAAAAACCGGGGACGACACATATTTGCCTTTAATCGCTTTCTTTTTTTTTTTTTTTTTTTGCGAGCCGGTCGATTAGGGCAGTGCTTCCCAAATTCTTCTACCCCGCGAACCACCCAAAACCGAGAAGCGACCGTTTGTTACGGAAGAATGAAAGCGATGGGCAGAGAGGACAAACGCGCAAGGCACGGGCCAACACAGACTCAGTGTATCTCTCGTTGGACCAAGGTCATCTCACCGGCGAGCTCAGCTTTATGTCGATTTAACCAGATGGGGATATTTATTTATTTATTTTACCCTCAGGGCTCAGGGCATTACAGAGGGGAGTGGAAACAATAGTATTAGTAATACAAATGGAACCAAATATACAATACAATGAGTAATTTAGTTTGCTGGTTAAATAAAGAAGAAATATTAGTCCACTGACCAGGAGTGCGAACACCTTGTTTGAGAGTTTGGCACTGCTATATTCTTCAGAAATAAAAAAATAAAAAAAATGCTTTACAAAACAAAAAGCATTTTTATTTTGTTCTATTAATAAACCGTCATATCTAGAATCGCGTTTTATAAGGAACGTAGAGGACGCGAGCTCCAGTCTTGACCTTCCGGGCACGCGACACCGTGTCAGAGCCGCCCTTTTTTTGTACCATGCATTTTTTCTCACCTTGCACGAATTATTTTCAAGGCGCCTCCGAGTGCTTCTGCTTCTCTTTCTTTGTGGTCGTTTGTTGGACAATTGGTTTGTGTGGCCAGCGGAGCTAGCGGCGCAGGTCTTATATCTTACCTCGGCAGGCTTCACTCACTTTTTCAAGTCGGAGTCATCCTCAATGAAAACGCAATTCTTCAGGAGAAAATATAACCTGCAATTATGGTCATCCACTCCAGTCGAAGAAAATAAGCTGCGTTTTGCCATGATCTGCACTACACGGCAGACGGAATAGAAGCCGAAAGTCCGCGAGCCATGATGCCTACAGAGGTGAATGGAAAAGCGTCTCCGACAAGATGTGTTTACCATGTGCTAAACAATGAAAGACGTTTACAATTCTCAGTCATTCTGAATTAGAGCGCAGCTTTTGAGGAGGTAGAGGGGAGTGTATGGTGCCTGCTCCATCTCCGTTCCCTCCCCTCCTCCTCTCCTGCACCCCTCCCATTTAGCGAGAAATCTTCGCTAAATTTCCCGCTAAATTAAGCGAAGATTTCCCCGCTAAATTTAGAAAGAAATTGCGAAAATTTCCCCACTAAATTTAGTGGGGAAACTGAATTGGTGTTGAGGTCACGTGATGTCTCATAATGCAACACGTGGTACGCCGACGTCGACACCGCTCCACCCAGAAACGGGCGCATAAGATCTGCGCTCTAAAAGTGGTCCCTCGATTTCCGCCCGATGAGTCATACAAGTGTCTAGTTGTCGCCGGCTGAGATCATGGCGGTGTCCCAGTAGTTGTGGTGAATGTGTCAGACGCCCGTTCTGTTGCGGGTCGCTCTCCAGCTTGACAGTGCGCGGAAGCTTGAGCCAGGAGGAGGGACCTTAGGGACCCCGCGACGGCAGCGACAGTCGCGTTCGCTCCTACTTTTTGCGGGACCTCCAGCACCAACCGCCAAGATCGCGACATCCGCCAAGATGACACACAGTCTGCTGTGACGTCACTTGTCGCCTTTTTTGGGGCGCTTTTGTTGTACTGGGATAGGTCACTGAACACGGCAGTCGACGACGCGTCCCAGTTCGACGTTACCAGGTCGAAGCCAGTTGACAAGCTTCCTAGAAAGCCGGGGGCCTTTTCGTGGCGCGTGCGCTGGGCTCTCGCTGAGCTAGCAGCGACAGAACATGGACAGACGCGTACGGAACCGGTGGAATGTTGAATGCACGTTGGCTGCGATGAGAAGCGATTTTCTTGTGGTCTTTATAATGAACAATCTTTACGCAAACGGAGGGTAGTACGTAAACCGTCCTTCTGTGGCCGTCACCCGTAGGAACGGCAGCGAATGGATCGCTACACGCCCGTATCTGCTCGCGTGCAGGCGACATAGAAGAACCGTTTTCGAACGCCGCTTTTCCGTGGAGCTCGTCAATTGATCTAAAAACGTTTTTCTGGGTCGGGCGGCCCGTCCAGGGGCGGAAGGGGCGCTCACCGGAGGAGCCCAAGGAGTGGCCCATGTTGGACTTGACGGAGCCGATGAGGAGCGGCTCCTTGCGTCCCTCGCCGCAGAAGACGTTGCTGATGGCGCTCAACTCCTGCGGGTCGCCCACCTTGGTGCCAGTGCCGTGCGCCTCGACATATGACACCGAGCGGGGGTCCACCCGGGCCTCCTCGTATACTTCACGCAGGAGTGCCTCCTGACCACGGCCTGAAGGAAACGTGACGCCTGCAACAAGAGAGAATCACCGCTCTGCACCCCGAGCCTCCGCAACGTTCCAAAAACGCGATTTTTCGAAATGCAAGATGGCCGTATGGTGGCCGGACTCGCGGAGCGGGAATGCGCGATCCAACAATTGTCATAGAGATCAGTGGTCGCAAGCGTGTGACCGAGCCTCAAGTACGTTTATACCCAAATGTAACTCTAGCAATCCGGACCAGATGCCAAAGTTTCCGAACTGACCGTTATCTTATTCAAAAGTTGCAAGTGACTTTCTGAAACTTTAAATGGGAAAGTGTCGCCGCCCACGAATACATAGAGGTGAATGGCATCAGCTACCAGGAACAGGCGTCAATTTCTTAATAATTTTTTTAGTAAATCACTAACAAGTTTTAAGATATCAGCTAGTTCTTAAACTCTAAAATCTGGACCGGACCGATAGCGCTACTTATAGGCGGAGCGTTTTGCGATGCGTAGTGGGAAAACAAAATACTTTTAGGTAGACGCTTTATACATGCTTTGCACTGACGTCCTGTCATCCAATTCTCAGTGACTTTAATTTCGACCCACCACAGAAGAGAGAGATGAGGAAGCTCCTTTCGTAAGAATTTTGAGTGACGGGATACTCTTCTATCATCTTCTAGAGGAAGAATAGCGACGTTTGGGACACAGGAGAGTTTCGGTGATGGCGGAGTTCCTCCCTCCCGTCGTCTTTGGTGGTGGTTGGAGAGCAGGTGCAAAGAAGACGCCTCAGATAGACGCCGTTCTACGGGGTATCCTCCCCAAAAAATTTACGTTTTTGTTTTCATTGCAAACTATGAATCGCCGAACGCCTTAACGTAGCGCTAGCGGTCTGATCCAGGCCCCGAAGTTTCACAACTAACAGTTCTCTTATTCAACGGTGATTTTCTTCATTTTCAAGAGGGAATAGACCGATCTTACCAACTATAGTTTTGTTACACCGCCTCTGCCGCAATGCATCGAGGGAACTTTAGTCTTTCTGCACGTGGGACAACCTCGCAGAAGCACTGCGCGTGAAGAGTATGAGAAAGCACGAGCTCCCTCGAGATCTACCGTCTGCCTCTTATGAAATAAAATTATGGTGGCGTCACGCATGCGTCGAACTCTTGGTGGGGTCGGTGTATTGGCGACCGACGGACGGAGCTCTTGAATGCAAGTGGAACGACGCCAGTTACTGAAAACGAGCAAAAACGGGCCCCATATTCCCATTATAAGTTTCAGAAAATCGCATAATTTTCTAAAGAGACAACGGTTAGTTCTGAAATGTTGGCATATGGTTCGGACTGTTAGCTCTACTTTGGGGCGGAGAATGAGTGTTCGGCGATGCGCAATTTCTTTTGCAACAACAACAAATAACAAAAAAGAAAAAGAAAAACAACAAACAAAACCAAACACATCAACAACAAGCCACAACAACAAAAACAACAACAACAAAAAACAACAACAACCAACAACAACACCAACAACAACAACCAACAACAACAACAAAGGGCAACGACAACAAACAAGAACAACAAACAACAACAACAAACAACACCAAGCAACAACAACAAGCAACAACAACAACAACAACCAACAACAACCAACAACAACAACAAACAACAACGACAAGAAACAACAACCACAACAACAACAACCTTTTGGTAATATTTTTGGGGGCACACCCTGTAAGAGGCGTCTACAGGTGAAGGCGCACCCGCGACGTCTGGACAAAGATGTGTCTGGACATCGTCCACTCGCCTATGCAGGTACTACACATGGAAGGGGGTGTGCATGCAGTTGGGTGTTGCAGCGGGCTGAGTCAACACCAGCTGGAAGACAAAGCCCGTGTATGACGTCACTCTTAGTGGACCCGCCCTAAGCGGCAAGCACGCTGAACCTCGACGAGAGCCGCCACAAAGCGGCACGCGCGTCCACATTGACGTCGGCCTTGTGCTAGCGTTGCGCTCCTTGCATTGAGAAGCGCTGCAAGGCGACGCTGATGAAAGCTGAACGGCGCCTTTTGGATGTGATGACGTTTGAAGGGGAAAGCGTCTTTTAGGAGCTAATGGCCGATTAAACGACCGAAGTGCAGTAGTGGCCAGTGCGTCCCCGACGAAGCCACAGTTCCCTCGGAGTCCGCACTCACCCTCGGCCTTGAAGCCGTCGGCATTGGCCTTGACGTGCACCAGCTTGGCGTAGACGCGGCGTGCCTCCGAGACCCGCTGGAGGAAGAACACGCCCACGGTCTCGCTCCTCACGTAGCCCTTGCCTGGGAAGAGAACACGACGCATGGGGCTCCAACCCGGCTCTTCCGAGGCACGCCCGAACATCTACCGAAGGGTTTCTTCTCGCTTCCTAAGGGGTCCTCGAGAGCAGCACTCGGAAAGCCATCGAAAGCAAAAGCGAAGTTCAAACGCATCTCATAAATAATCTCCGGATAAATAGTGTGGATCTAGACAGTTTAACACTGAAAGACTTAAAGTTGCTTTTGCGCGAATTATTTTACGAGGTAATCGATCTTGTTTAGGTTGGCACGTTTTTCTAGGCGTACGATTTGTTTTAGCATTAGCTCGTTCTAGGGCGTTCGTTGCTGTTTCTGCGCTTCCTCCGCTCGGTGTTGACCACTTTAGGGGTTCAAGGATTGCCAAACTGTACACCACAGCTTCTTTCCTCGGGTTTCCCATCATATTCGATGGAAATTAAGGCAATTTATTATTATTATTATTAATATTATTATATTATTAATATTATTAAGAGGTCCACAACTGGGTGACACCAAAATCGGATCTGGTGAAAGGTTTGAAGCTCTCGGAAGTTTTCTAATGTATCCCCTTCTAGGACAACCTTCATGTTCAGATGTCTCCTCGTAAGAATCCTTACCAAAAGTTGGGAACAGCGGTGGCCGCCATATTTTTCGGAGCACGGCTACCTGCGCCAAGCGTGCGATTAGATCCGAGCTGGTACCGAGAGCTGACGCAGCGCTCGGGTACCCAATGCAGGCTCAGAGTCAATGCTCCAAATATGGTACGATAAGCGATCGGATAATCGACGCAGCAGCTAGTAGAGAAGGGTTCACATGGACGGAACACGAACACCGCGTAGAGAAAAAACTCCCCACCGATCACTTACTTGGTGAGATTCAGCTGTCCCACCACTAATTTGGTTTTTGCGGTCGAGTTATATGGCCAGGGAGACATAGTACAGGGAGAGTCACGGTCAGTCGACTAAAATATGTTAATGGTTTAATAATTCAAAATAAACGCATGGTTTAAGTGGGTCCATATCACAAGAGCGAATGGCATTTTAGCGAACGGCGACATTTGAGCGAATGGTCGTTTTAGCGAATAACGGCGGCGCGCGTTAACCCATCCATCGCGCTGCGCTTTACGCCGCTTCGCGGCGACAGTCTGCGGCAACTCGTTACAAAAATATGAACTCACTTGGCCCACCCGAAAACGCCGCTTCGCGCCATCCGACTATTCGCTAAAGTGTCATTCGATGAAACGGGGGCGTTCGCTAAAACGTCATTCGATCAAATGAGTGCCTCCCGGTTTAAATTGGGAACTTGCCGAGCGTCATCAAAAATCAAGTCCGTCAATTTGAGAAAAACTCGGGGAGCATATGTGGGAGGCACGGTGGAGAGCTAAAGCTAGGTATTTGGCTGAAGCATAGCCTCCTCTATACGGACAAAGCCTTGCAGATCGCCACGAGACGCTACCACCGAATGTGAAAAGGTAGAGTAGCACACAACGAATGAGAGGAGAGGAATGTAACGGGCACCCCGCTGCAGCGAGACGCCGAAACACACTTGTACCGAGTGATGAAATATCCGCTCGTGCTCCTCGCGTTCCTCGCGCTACCGTTCTTTTCTCGTCGGGTTTGAAAACCATGTTTCGGGTCCTCACCGCTGCAAAAGCTGTGCGCTGACTAGAGGCTCCCCGAGAAATGCTCTGCGCTACCAGATCCTCGCGCTCCAAATCTGCGATCGGGCACTTTATGACTCCGTCGTCGAACTGCCAGGCTTTGTAAGTGTAGAAGAGGCTATGGCTACAGTTACCTTTCGTGCAGCAGGAGCAAAGCTACCGACGCGATAACGTGCCCATCTCTTGTCCGGATTTTGTCACCCTCGCCTCGCGCCTTTTGCTCGAGTGGTAACTTTAGCGCACTGCTGCGCTTCCTAAGCGATCAGTCTTTGTAAAAATTGCCAATTTAGTGGCTTTTGTATATTCCGTATTTTGTCTATGTTCACTTATTAAAAATTTTAATTAGCATTTCTTGTTAATTATTCGACTCATCGTGAGAATTAGCCTCCCATATTGTCTTCCCCTGACCGTACAACTCACTTGCAGAGAGCGCATTAGTGTAGCTTTAACCGCTTTCTAGCGTCCCACCTTCGACAAGGCTTCAGCGCGTCTCGCACACCTCAAGCCTGCAGCCAGAGCACGGTGCGGATGGCATGGCGCTCGAAAAACACGCCCTTCTCGTCCAACAAAAGCCAAAAATGGCTTCCGAAAGTGGGTCCTGACAGAAAGTGGTCTCACCGTCGGCGTCAAAGGCCTTGCACTTGCCGTCCGGCGACAGCGTGCCGAGGCGGTACAACTTGAGTGCCGTGGTGGGATTGAGCGTCAGCGTGCTGCCCCCGACCAGCGCCGCCTCGCACTGTCCCGAGCGCAGCGCCAGCATGGCCTCGTTCAGCGCCGTCATAGCCGACGAGCAGCCCGTGTCCACAGTGAAGCTCGGCCCTAGGAAATCATCCAGGCACGCCGCCATCAATTCCCCTCCCACGCCGGAGACCGCAACGCTACGGAGTCTCTCTAGACTCGCTGAAGCCGAAAGTCCACGGAGCCCGCCGGTTGGACTTTGCCACCAACTTTGTGCGTCGCGAAACGGTCTCTATAGTTAAACTTTTCGCCCTTGTGGAATCGGGTCGAACGGCAGCCGAGGGACCCCCTCCCACTATCGGCGTCCATCCAATAAAGCAACGCATAGCGGTACGTTCAAATAGGCCAATCAGGGTCGGGGATTCGCGCCGTGGTTCTACTCCCTGAGGAAGTTGCTCACCGTTGAAATCGAGGCAGTAGGAGACACGGTTGGAGAACATGGCCCTGCAGCAGCCGATCAGGGCGTAGCCGTCGATCTTGTCTGTGTCGCCGTTGAAGGCCTCGTCGGTCTCGGACTTGCTATTGCCCATGAAGACGCCAATCTTGCGTCCCCGCAGCGTGCCCGGGTCATAGCCGGCATCCACGATCGCCTCGTACGACGTCTCGAGCAACAGGCGCAGCTGCGGGTCCATCACTTCCGCCTGCTTCGGGTGTACGGCGAAGAACTGCGCGTCAAACCGGGACAGGTCCCTGATCTTGCCGGACCGTTCGGGAAGGCCTAGCAGCCCTTCAAGAAGAAAGAAAAAAATGGCTGTCTTTTTCCCAAAAGTTCTTGTAATGCAGCGCATTACAAGGGCCTTTGTGACAGTCATCGCATTTCCAACGCAATGTCCTTTAAGAAGCAGTCTAGAAATTTTTTGCGCGGCACAAGGGACAATCACAAGCGAGTAGACACGGACAAGCGAGAGTTTCAACTAGTTTATTCGTGCTCGATCGATTACGAACATCCAGAAAGAGCATGGGCAGTACGCTACGCAGAATAATAAATTAGTTGAAAGTTGCGCTTGCCCGTGTGTACTCGCTTGTGATTGTCCCTTGTGTCGCGCAAAAAACTTCTAGACTGCATCATGAACCCACTAGGCCAACCACAAGTTTTAATTGACTACTGTCCTTCAAGAACTACGCCGATGACAGAGAGGTCCCACGTGTTTTGGCGGCCGCTGGAACACTTCCGCCGGTGTTGTCTACAACTGTGTATGAAGCACCATCGTCATCGACAGGGGCGAAGTTTTTCTGCATTACGATGCCTGGAACGCGTCTCCGACTGGTGTGTTTACCGGGTCCAAAAAAGTGGTCCCTCGATTTCTGCCTGATGACGTCATAGAAGTGTCACGTTTTCGCCGGTCGCGAACCTGGCGGCGTCCCAGCAGCTGTGGTGTATGTGGTAGACGCCTGTTCTGCGGCAGGTCGCTCTCCAATGCGGCAGTCCACGGAAGCGAAAGCAGCCGGAAGTTGGGACGCCTGGAACGCCGTGACGACAGCGACACTCGCGTTCGCCTGTGGGGTTTCGTCAGCATTTCTGCGCCCAACCGCTAGGATCGCGACATGCAACAACATGACACTCCGGCTTCTGTGACGATATTGTCAATATTAATAAAAGCGTAAATACGTAATTTACGCTGATGATACAAGTTTATTTTTTACTGGTAACTACTGTCAGGAACTAGCAATAAAGGCAATCAAACGTTGAAAGACCTCGCTAATTGGAGTCAATGCGATGCTTTAAAAATAAATGATAACAAAACAAAAGCAATTTTATTTCGCCCAAAAAGTAAGAATGATAATATAACTAGTGTTATTGTCTTAAATGGAACAAAAATAGAGATTCTATCTAGTTTTAAGACACTTGGCGTCATATTCACGGATCGAATGCGTTGGGATGAACACGTAAATTATATTTCGGTAAAATTGTTAGGAGTCGCGGGCTTAATGTATCGTCATCGCCATATTCTGCCCACAAATGTAAAATTAATTATTTATATTGCATTATTTCTCTCCCAGATCCATTACTCCTTTTTAGTCTGGGGTACTACTACGAATGCAAATTTAAACAAAATACTTGTGATACAAAAGAAAATATTGCGAAGTATTTGTAACGTGTCATACGATCACCCTAGTGAACCTCTCTTTAAAAAGCTTAAATTTGATGCCTTTAAATAGATTATATAAATATCGTTTATGCGTGACCTATAAATCAGAAGTACAAACAAATCTTCATGCTCTTAGTAAATTGGCATCTCTCTCGCTAAGAGTAGCAACATATCCTACTCGAAACACGGAAATTTGGACGCTCCCTATTTGCAAAACTAACTACGGTGAACAAATGTTAAAATACGCACTTCGTCGACTGCTTAATCTTTTTGTTACTCACAATATTGATTTTCCGACAACATCTGTAAAAAATCTCCGAGCATTTTTTTATTTTCCAAATGTGATTGCTTAGTTGTCATGTTTCATAACCTAAATTTTTGCTGAACTGAATAATTGCTGTGCTTGCATGTGCTCTGATTTTGTTTGCCTCTTATATAGTCGCACCTTTTTTGTAATATTGTCCTGTTCTTATCTCTCAAATTGTTATCTTTTCTCTTGGTTTCCTTTTTGGATTACTTGTGCCACTGCAACCATGTCTAAGGAAGGGTGGCGAGGGCCCGTCAAGCTGCATGATACAGCTTTTTTCCTCGGTCTCCCTCCGTAATTTTTGTTTTGACGGATATAAACATTATTACTATTATTATTATTATTATTTGCTGCCGCTTTGGGACCACTTTTGACGTATGGGCGGGATAGGATGCTAAACACACCAATCGGACACGCGCTCCAGGCACCATACCTGCACCGCCCCTTTCGTCGTCGTACTCAGTGAGCGAGACAGCACTGCAACGATGCGCCCCCAGCTAAACCAGCTCTTGTTTGCTATCCAGGTCCTTGCATCCTGGAGTGTGTGGCCCGCCAACGAATGCGGGGAATCATCGTGTGACAGTCATCACATTTTCAACGCAACGTCATTCATGAACTACGCCGATGACAGCGAGCTCCCGCGTGTTTTGGCGGCCACTGGAACATTTCCGACGGTGTTATCTACTACTGTGTATGAAGCACCATCGTCATCGACAGGGGCAAAGTTTTTCTGCACCGCCCCTTTCGTCGTCGTACTCAGTGGGTGAGACAGCACTGCAACAATGCGGTCACAGCTATACCAGCTCTTGTTTGCTATCCATGTCCTTGCATCCTAGAGTGTGTGGTCCGCCAACGAATGCGGGGAATCATCGTGTGACAGTCATCACATTTTCAACGGAACGTCCTTCAAGAACTACGCCGATGAAAGCGAGTTCCCGCGTGTTTTGGTGGCCGCTGGAACATTTCCGCCGGTGTTATCTACTACTGTGTATGAAGCACCATCGTCATTAACAGGGGCAAAGTTTTTCTGCACCGCCCCTTTCATCGTCGACCTCAGTGGACGAGACAGCACTGCAACGATGCGCCCCCAGCTAAACCAGCTCTTGTTTGCTATCCATGTCCTTGCATCCTGGAGTGTGTTGCCCGCCAACGAATGCGGGGAATCATCGTGTGACAGTCATCACATTTTCAATGCAACGTCCTTCAAGAACTACGCCGATGACAGCGAGCTCCCGCGTGTTTTGGCGGCCACTGGAATATTTCCGCTGGTGTTATCTACTACTGTGTATGAAGCACCATCGTCATTAACAGGGGCAAAGTTTTTCTGCACCGCCCCTTTCATCGTCGTACTCAGTGGACGAGACAGCACTGCAACGATGCGGCCACAGCTAAACCAGCTCTTGTTTGCTATCCATGTCCTTGCATCCTAGAGTGTGTGGCCCGCCAACGAATGCGGGGAATCATCGTGTGACAGTCATCACATTTTCAACGCAACGTCCTTCAAGAACTACGCCGATGAAAGCGAGCTCCCGCGTGTTTTGGTGGCCGCTGGAACATTTCCGCCGGTGTTATCTACTACTGTGTATGAAGCACCATCGTCATTAACAGGGGCAAAGTTTTTCTGCACCGCCCCTTTCATCGTCGTACTCAGTGCTCGATGTGGGAAAAGGGCAAGCTTTCAACATGGAGTCAGGCACGCAAAAAACCCTTTATTCACTTCTTCCTCTTCCCTCGTGTCGGCCAAACCGATACGAGAGGTGAATTACCTCACACATCTCCCCTACTAAGTCCCACACCAACAACCAATCACACATCTCCCCTCCTAAGTCTCACAACAAACACTCACACCTTTCTCCCTCTAAGTCACACCTGCATCGTTCATTGTTCTTGATACCTCTTTGGTGCTCGAACACATCTTCCACTTTTTGTGTGAGCGTGGCCGCCATCGGCGCAATGAGGCCCAGCCTCTGGTGAATCAGCACCGTCTTCTTGCACATTCTCGGTTACCTGTAGTTCTGATCCAGAAGCATGACTGGGTAAGGGAATCAGGTGTGTTCTGTTTCAGCGGATAGAGTCTCCGGCGTCAGTGTCGATCCAGTATGATCTGGGTTCATTTGCACTGCTTTGGACGACTCCTTGTCGTTGCAGGTCGACTACCCACACGTCAGTTCCCTCGTCCAAGTCGACTAAGTCTCGGACGCCATGCCGGCGGTCGAAGTCTTCTTTTTGTTTTCGTCGATGAGACATTTCAAATTTTCTTACTTTGTTGAGATCTGGAAGGCAGGGAACGAGGCGGCTAGACGAGACTGGGAGATTTGTTCGTAACCTCCTGCCCATCAGAAGTTCTGCCGGACTGTATCCATTTTTCAATGGACTCGTTCTATAAGCGAGTAGGGTCTTGTACGGGTCTTCTGTTTCCTTCAGAGACGACTTTATTATTTTGACCGCGGCTTGTGCCGTTCCATTGCTTTGAGGGTACCTCGGACTGGAAGTGATGTGGCGAAAACCATAATCCTTTGCAAATTCATCAAATTCGCGATTAGCGAACTGGGGTCCGTTGTCGGATACCACCACGTCCGGTATGCCATGCCTCGCAAAAATAGACTTGCAATGGGTGATCACAGTTCCCGATTAGAGACCACCAAGTCGGACCAGTTCTGGGTACCGTGAAAAATAGTCAGTTATGATTAGCCACCAGGCTCCGTCCCAGAAGAACAAATCCATCGCTATTCTTTCCCAGGGACGCTGTGGGAATTCTGTTTGCAGAAGAGGCATTTTGCGGTTGACACTCTGTTTGAGGCATACGTGACAGATTTTGATGAGCCGCTCAATATCAGGGTCAATTCCAGGCCACCAAACAGAATCCCTTGCTCGTCCTTTGCATTTGTCTATCCCGAAATGACCTTCATGAAGTTGGCGAAGGACGGTGTCGCGCATTTTCTCAGGGATTATCACTCTAGAGGTACGAACTATTACGTCGTCAACGAGTGAGATGTTGTCTTTATCTTCCCAATAGGGTTTGAGCTCCTGCTCGAGATCTCTTCTTCTTGGCCACCCTGTTAGAATGAGTTGACGAAGCCGCGCGCATACTCCGTCTTTCTGTTGTTCACTGGCGACCTGCTGAACACTGTATGATGTCAGCGGCATAGAGGAGACGATGTGTTTAATGTAGCCATCGATCTCATTTTCGAGGTAGAAAGGCTCCGATTGTGAAATAGGAGACCTTGACAAAGCGTCGGCTGCCGTTAGATCCTTGCCGGGGACATAGACGATGGCATACGTGAAACGCATGAGTCGCATGCGCATTCTTTGTAACCTTGGTGTCACGTC